AGAAAATGGGGGGCAGCCGCATGCATCATAGACGTACGAGCGACGTCCATGACCATGCCAATGCGGCGCTCAGCAATCCCATTTTGCTGCGGTGAGTCCGGAAGCGTGAAGGTCTGACGGATGCCCCGTGCACGACAGTAGGCACGCAGAAGGCCAGAGGAGAACTCTCCGCCTCTGTCCGAGTGCAGACGCAGAACAGGAAAGTCCGAGCCGAAGCTCTGCCTGAGCTGGAGACGAGCTGCGCGGATCCAGTCGATCAGCACCTCAGTGACATCACCCTTGCTGCGCAAGGGGAAGACTGTGGTGTAACGCGAGTAGTCGTCAACAACGAGCAGGAAGTAGCGCTCGTGACCCTGTCCACGGACGCGGGCTGGGCCCCACACGTCCATGTGAAGTGTCTGCAACGGGGCCTCTGTCGAAGGAAACTGGGAGGAGTGAGGGGCAGCACGCTGGCGCCCCTCGACACAGGGGACACAGGCAGGGCCAGGGCCCTGAGGAAGGGGAGGGAGGGACCGGGGGAGACCGGACACAAGAAGACGGGAGGCCATACCTCTGAGCCGAAGCAGAGAGGGGTGGCCAAGGCGGTGGTGCCAGAGGAGAGTCTCGTGAGACAGGAGACGACACGAACAGGGGGCAGACTCAGGACCAGACCTGGACGCCGCAGCAAACACCTGACCCGACGTAACTACCCTACCAGACTCAGCAACTGGAGGAGACGCAGTGGTCAGAGTGTACAGGCTCGACCCCGGCTGACGGGTGAACGTAGCCAGGTGTCGGCCTGTGCCAGCCTCTGTACAGTGGGTCACTCGCTGACGTGCAGGAGTGAACTGGTGGACACCCGCATCCTGTAGGTCAGCACCACTCACCAGGTTCGTCGAGAACGAGGGGAGGTAGAGACCAGACAGGGTGCCAGAGGGAGCCGCCGGACACGGGAGGACTGTGGAGAAACGAGACAGGACCGGACCCCCAGAGGGGTCAGCCAGAGACACCGCAACCGGCCGACTAAGCGGCGTGAGTGTGGTGCGGTCCCGAAAGAAGGAGCGAGACGCCCCAGAGTCAAGAGTGAAGGTGAGGGAGGCCGAAGCCGACGCGGTACCTGAGAGAGCAGACTCACCAGTACATGAGGACGCAGACACACCAGCACCTAGAGCAGCAGCGTCGTAAGCACCTAGGGCAGCAGCCTCACCAGTACCTAGAGCAGCAGTCTCAATGCCCGGATCGGGCTGGAAACACCGGGAACAGTCACCCTCATCACTAATAGACACAGCATACATGGCAGAGAGAATAGCATCAAAGTCCAGATCAAAGATGGCAACCCCCGCCCTAGACAGCTCGTCCCAGCGAGGGATCTCGGAGGCCTCCGGGAACTGGTGACGCCATGCGTCCGTCAGGCGGCCAAAGCAGCGCGGAGTGGGGTGCGCACCCCCACACTGCTCACCCGCACGGTCGCCGGTGCGCAGGACGTAGGTACACGGACCAAAACCCCCACCCCGCTGGCGTGCAGTGTACCACTCACGGAGCTGCTGAGGGGACAGGGTCGCACGACCACGCTGCTGCTGCTGGCGCGAGCCACCACCGGAGCCACTCCTCTGCAAAGACCCGCGACCAGCTCCACCGCCACCCCCACCGCCTCCACCGCCTCCGCTGCCTCCACTGCCGCCGCCGCCTCCACCGCCTCCTCCACCGCCGCCTCCTCCGCCACCTCCGCTACCACCGCCACCGCCGCCGCGGCCTCCGCCTCCACTGCCGCCACCGAACCCCCCACCCCCACCTCCACCTCCACCGCTACCCCCACTCCCCCCACTGCCTCCACCTCCACCTCCACCGCCCGCTCCTCCAGCTCCCTTGCCCCCCTTGCCCTTGCCAGGGCGGCGTCTCCCGCTAGGGGCAGACGCCGCACCGACCGACTCAAGACCAAGGAGGTCGGCCGAAGCAGCAGAGGCAACAGAGGGCAGCAGGGGGGAGGGAGAACACCCCTCAAAGATGGGGGTGCGCGGGTCACCTCGAGAGGCTCCTACAGCGACTATGCTCTTTTCTATCGCGAGGAGGGCCTTCTCGAGGAGGTCTACAGTGAGTGTGGTGGGACAGACTGAGAGAAAGTGGTCCCTGACTACTCGAAGGGAGTCAGGGAGGCGAGTGACTAGGAAGTACAGAGTGATGTACATGGGGGGGGGGTTCGCGGTGCAGAAGTCAGCAGGAAGTGCAGCGCGGTAGCGAGTGTCACTAGTGCGGAGGTGCGTAATGAGGTCAGCAACGGTGGGAAAAGAAGCAAGGTCAGGGAAGAGGTACGGCAGCATGAGACGGCTCAGTGCAGCAGTGGAAGGGGAGGAGTAGCGCGCGACTACAGCGGCGTACAAGGTCTGAGCACTCTTGTACTGACTAAAGTGCGCACGCTCGGAGGTAGGGAGGTGGCGACGCACAGCAAGACGTGCAGCAGCATCGCGCGTGGCCCACTGGGAGCGAACAGTGGCGTCAGCATCAGCAGCAGGGGCAGGGGAAGCGCCAGAGGTGAGGTCAAAGAGAGAGAGGCCGTCCGCCCTATCGCACTGTAAGAACAGCTGTAGGTCATCTACCCAGACCTCAAAGTCAATGGCCCGACCCTCAGCGTCAAAAGTGAGGACACTAGGGGTAGCCATGACAGCAGTAGACCAGCAGTGCAAGGAGTAGGGGAAGAGCACGCAGTGACAGAGGGTCTGTGCTCACCGGACAGGGCTGCTCGGGCGGCTCGGCTGCAGGGCGGCTCGGCCGCTGGGCGGCTCGGCGACTGGGCGGCTCGGCGGCTGGGCGGCTCGGCAGCTGGGCGGCTCGGCGGCTTGGCGGTCGGCTGCACGGCTGCAGCGCGGCTCGGCGGCGGGGCGGCTCGGCTGCTCTGCTGCTGGGCGGCTCGGCTGCGCTGCTGTTGGGCGGCTCGGCTGGGCCGCTGACGTAGGGCGGCGGGGCCGCTGTAGAGGAGTGGCGGGGCCGCTGCAGAAGGACGGCGGGGCCGCTGGGTAGTGAGGCGGCGGGGCCGCGAAGACGGGCGGCGGGGCCGCTGCAGAGAAGCGGCGCAGTGAAGGGCGGCGGGGCCGCAACGAGAGAGGCGGCGGGGCCGCAGCGAGAGAAGCGGCGGGGCCGCGAAGTCGGGCGGCGGGGCCGCTGAGTAGGGCGGCGGGGCCGCAGTGAGAGGCGGCGGGGCCGCAGCGAGAGAGGCGGCGGGGCCGCGAAGACGGGCGGCGGGGCCGCTGAGATGGGTGGCGGGGCCGCAGTGAGTGGCGGCGGGGCCGCAGCGAGAGATGGCGGCGGGGCCGCGAAGACGGGCGGCGGGGCCGCAACGAGAGAGGCGGCGGGGCCGCAGAAAAGGGTGGCGACGGGCCGTAGGCGGCGCGAAGCCGCAGGTAAGGGCGGCGACGGGCCGGGGCGGCTAGAAGCCGCAGGTAGAGGCGGCGCGAAGCTGCGGGAAGGGCGGCGACGGGCCTGGGCGGCGCGAAGCCGCAGGTAGGGGCGGCGCGAAGCCGCCGGTGAGGGCGGCGCAAAGCCGCGGGTAAGGGCGGCGACGGGCCGGGAAAAGGGCGGCGCGCCGCAGCCGCTAGGGCGGCTCGACGCGACCGTAAGGGCGGCGCGACGGGCCGCTAGGTGCGACTCGACGGGCCGCTAAAAAAAAAAGGCAGGCGCGACTCGAGGCGCGCTTCGGTGGGCCCAAGGAACAGTCCCTAGGAGGGGACCTGCTCTGATTCCATGTGATAATGAGAACGAGAAATGGATGAACTATGAAATGAAGTGAGTACAAATATGAAACCCTAATTGGTTGTACCCCCTATGGGATACCCCACTATAGCCTACACAACAGCATAAGCTACAATGTTCTGACAACCTCCAAGTGTTGACTCGCCTGATGCTTCGTTGTGCTTCGCCTCGTTTACGACTTAGTTGTTTCGACACAGAACAGAAGCGCTTAAATCACTTGTTTCCAACAATTGCGAGCAATTTAAGGTTACCATGTTGCAGTGCGTAACGTTCGACTACGGTTGCAGGACTGTCAATAGTCGCGACCGTCGACTTTCTTCGACTGTTGACCTGGACGTACTTTTATACGAGCTAACGCGGTACGGTTACAGTACGCTGCTTCGTTATGAAGCGGTGCGCTAAGGGAGAACATTTATAAATGGCAAATAAACCTTGGTTAATCCAACACATAACTTGTAGGTTACATGATTTGGCATCTTGAAAATGCGCCATTCGGCGTCGTCAACGTGACAAGATGACGTTGTAGTGCGCATGATTTTTTTCGCAAATGTCGCTGATTTTGCAACATCAACAAATGTGTGCAAAAGAGCACACATTTGCAAAAAAGTGCATATTGTTTGAACATAGATTAGGCCAATGTTAGGTGTCCTTGTTTGTTTCCATGTTTTGGCATATTGTTGACGAACGTCGCAACCCTTTGTTAGCAACATAGGCGAAGCGGGTAATCAGCTAACGTTGTACACTATTTCGAAACTCTGACCATCCAAGTACCCAGCCCTGATTTCATGCCCGTGTCGACCAGCCAACGGGTGTGGGGCTTCTTTGGTGTTCCATTTCGAACGTTGTTGGGACTTGCGCATACACCGGCGGGGGGCAGATTAACAGTGGTTGGGGTTACGTGTGGAGGTTCTCCATCAGTCATTATTTTCCGTCGAGTTGTCGGTATCTCAGGTGTCCTGCTGGTCGTTTCTGAAATTCTCCCTGATGACTGTTCGTCCGGACTTAAATATTTGTGCTTCACGCAGCACCTTTTCGCTACTCACGTCTGCCCCCCTGACGATCAAGCTCGACTGCAGTTCCAGTAGTAACCCTGTATATTTGCGAAGGCCACTTTCCACAAGACATTTCCACCTACTTCCAATTCAGCGCAAACGACACAGTCATTGGTAACCCTGTCCTGATGTACGCATGCTCACCTGAGTTTTGTGCTGTCCGCCCCAGTAGTCGCAGCACAGGTTGTTTTCAGCTGTCGAGACTTGTATACAGTGTTCCTAGTGATGAGTGATCGTTCTTTCACCTGCCTCGGGGCACCTGCTCCCGTCACGGAATGTGTGTGAAGCAAAACAACAAAATCCATTGCACCGATCCTTGCTCTCAGATCAAACTACCCTGCCCTCCCACCTTCTCATTGTTCTGCTTTGTTCCCTGTAGATCAGGAAACGTAGGTCGTTGTCTGATTTCAGTTCCTCTCTTCTAGTGTTGTAGTTAATTCCGCCATTGCCCTTGCTGAGCTCGATAAACGAAAATGGGTCGCCTCGCCGTTGCGCTAGTGTTAGTTCTTGCTTGCGCTGCTACGGCGCGTGCTATTACATGGAACGACAACAGGCACCAGGCCGACTTCGACAGCGGTCGAGTTACTTACACGTCGTGCGAGGAGAACCAGCTGTGCATTAAAGACTGCGCCGAGCAATACCCCACCCGCTATTACATGGGCCAGTACTCGCTCCCCTTCTACCGCTGCACGGGCACCACTGCTACCACCAACAAGAACTTGGGGCTTCCTTTCTGCACCGGCAATGCTATTACGGAGCAACAGTGCTGCAGCTCGTGTATCAATAGCACCACGTGCTCGTACTGGCAGATGTTCAAGCCTGGCGGCGCCACGTGCAACGGATGCGGCATCTGCATTTTGTACCCGCCGGGCTTCTCGCCCAAGTGCGTAACGTCCCAGTATGACATGGAGCTGCCCGACGGCACCACCTTCCCACGCAACAACGCCAACATCAGCGTCGTCGGCCACCCGTGCGGCGAGGGCGAGAACGACCCCCACTTCCGCGGTGCGCACGGAACGCGCTTCGAGTTCAACGGTCTGCCGGAGCAGTCGTTCTGCCTGCTGACGGACCGCAACCTGCACGTGAACATGCGCATGCGCGGCTACTACGACACGCGCACCACCGGCGCGTCCATCCTCAAGAACGGCAAGGCGGTTCGCACGTGGATCCGTGAGCTGGGCTTCCTCTGGACCGACGCCGCCGGCAAGAAGCACTCGTTCCGCCTGCTGGCGCGCGACGGCAAGAAGACGGCGCGCGGAAAGGGCTTCCTGAAGGAGATCGAGTACGACGGGCACGTGCTGCCGCTGCTGAAGCTCGGCGAGAAGTACTCGCTCAAGGGCGGGCTCACGTTCGCGTTTGAGGCGTACGAGAAGGCGGGACGCGGCTTCTTCGACGTGGACTCGTATCACTTGGAGATCGAGGGGCTCCTCAAGATGGGCATCAAGCTCCGCGTGGCGCACCCGCTGCTGCAGACCAAGGACGACGCCGAGGCGCATTTGAACGTGCACTTCGAGCACATCTACAGGACCGACGACATTCACGGCATCATGGGGCAGACGTACCGCGACGGCCGCGAGAAGCGCGCGCTCGACTACAACACGCTCTCGCAGGTGATTGGCCGCCCAATTGCTGCTGACGGGCCAAGTGGTGCTGGTTTCCTGGACGGCAACGTGAAGGACTACCGCACGTCGGGCGTGCTGTCGCCTGACTGCCTGTACACGGCGTACGACGGCCACGACCTGCCCACGATTGCGTCGTACAAGGGCATTCAAATGGCTTGATTTGTTTCGAAGCCCTGAGAATTAAGATGCTTCAGGGTGTGTATTATGTTGGATTCGACTTCAATACTCTTCCTCGGTGCTTGTTTGTATTCAATAGCTAGTCATCAAAAGTTGGGCATTGAATATGTTCTTTCATATCGAAAATTATTTTATGCAAATAATGCTGTTTTATCCACATACTGGTTTGGTCTTCCTTCTATTGGTTATTGACTAGGTTGGAGAGGAGTCAAAATTTATAATTTGTTACAAATATCATACTAAGCAAATTACCCTACAAAACAGATGCAGATAACAGAGATACCAATAAATTGTGTTGGTGATGGTGTCTTCAGCTGCATCTGCAATCAGCACCTCTCCCCCCATTGCTGAAGCTTGGGCGTTCTTATGACACTCAGCTTCCGCGCATCCCTCACAAACTCGCTGCAAGCGACACAAGGAAGAACATGAGAGGCAGCAAGGAGGACAATAGTGAGCACGGCTTCATGCCAGTGGCACAGTGCAGTAGTCATGGCGTGGAGCTCACAGGGTCTAAAGGAGGCAGGACACGAGCATAAGGCGGAGATGCAGCAAGTAGAGGAGCAGCAGAGGGAAGTGGAAGGAGTGAGAGGAAGAACAAGAGGGAGAAAACGAGAGGTAGAGAGGGAGGAGGGATGAGATGCAGTGAGAGAGTGGGAGGAAGGAGGTGCAGCGAGGGGTTGCTGACCTCCAGGGCCCGTCCCCGACGAGGAGCATGTCGCCATCGGCGTCGGTGTAGGTGAGCTGCCAGAGACACGTGGCACCCTCTGAGGGCTGCCCCGGCTGCTGCAGAGGCAGCTGCAGCATGGCTGCACACGTGGCGTACAGTGATTGGAAGCTGCCGATGCCACTCAGATCCACCGTGCGCATCACTGGGCTTCCCTCCACCCGCAGCTGAGGGAGGGGAGCACAGGCAAGCAAGAGAAAGAACAACGGGTGGGTGTGAGAGGCTAGCATACGTGCATGCATCCACTCAACCATGCAAGCATGCATGCATGCACCATGCAGTGATGCATGCATGCATCAAGGAATCACTCACTTTGACGCGCCGAGACTGCCCAGCGGCAGTGGAGGCAGCATGGCAGCTTGGCTGCAATGCCTCACACGCCGGACTGGCAGCAGCAGCAGCAGCAGCAGCAGCAGCAGCAGCAGCAGCAGCAGGGGGAAGAGCAGAGGAAGCAGGGCGAGGTGCAAGGCCCTCAGTGCAGCGCTTCGCCAAGTCTTCATCACAGCCGCCCACCGCCATCCCCCTCGTGGCCTCTGCACCCTGCCTTGGCGTCGCAGGCACCTCCTCCCGCTCCCGCACTGCGCTCCCTGCTGCTCCCCACTCGCCCGCTCCCCTCCCTGCTCCAGGCTGCTCTGCCACCTGTTGTGCCACGCTATGCCCGTCGTGTGGCCCTGCCGTCCCACCTAACCCCAACTGCGGCCGCTGTGGCGAATGAGATTGACATGGCGAGTGTGGGGCCAGAGGGACAGAGAGAGTGAGGGAGAGTGCGAGGGGGTCGCACCAACCTGAGGCACCTGAGGCAGCTGAAGCGTGGAGTGTTGAGGAATGGGAGATGGAGAGAGGGCGAGCAGGGGGTGACGGGGAGAGCGAGAGGGCGAGAGCCGAAGGCACTGCTGCTGCAGTTGCAGCTGGTGGGGTTGCTGGAGCCATGGCTGCTGCTGCTGCTGCTGCGGCAGGAGCGGAGTGGTGCCCGGCGTGCTTGAGCACGAGCAGGGATGCCGCCGCTACTTCAAACGATGAATGGCCCTGCCCACCCGCCATGCCCTCCTCTGCTCCTTGCTCTGCCTCCTCTCCCTCCTTTCTCTTCTCCCTTCCCTCCTCGCCCTTACCTCCCTCCTCCCCGTCCCTTCCCTTCTCTTCCTCGCGCACCTTCGCCTCCACCATTTCCTCCTCCTCGCCTCCCTTCCCACACTCCGCATCACGCATTTCTTGCTCCTCACACTCCTCCTCGCCCTCCTCCACGCGTCCCTCCACGTCACCACTCTGCCAGCTGGCACAAGGGACGGCACTCCTTGCCTTCTTCCCTGGCCGCTGCTCTGCTGAGTCAGCTGCCACGTGGCAGTCAGTGAGTGGAAGCAGCGTGGCGAGAGACAGCCTGGCAGGCCGAGGGGCGCTGGGAGGAGGCGCCGCATGGGAGAGGACGGTGGGAAGGGGGCGGAGGTGGGGTTGGGAAGGGGTATGGGGCGGCTGCGTGGAGTGGGGAGGAGGGGAGGAGTGGGGGGGAGGGGAGGAGTGGGGGGGAGGGGAGGAGTGGGGAGGAGGGGAGGGCGCAGGCGGGTCGAGGTCGCACTGGAAGCGCACTCGCTTGCGCACCGCGCTGCCAGGTGGCAGTACGCCATTGGCGGGTGGGAGCACTCCGCACGCCCCACTGCCTGCGACGCCACTTCCGGCCTGTTGTGGTGCGGCGGGCGGCAGGCGTGTGGTGGGGCGAGGGGTTGCTGGCCGTCCACCCTCACTGCGGCTGCTGCTCATGTCCGAGTGCGAGTGGGAGTGGGAGTGCGAGTGCGAGTGTGAGGGTGTGGGTGGGAGTGAGAGGGAGCGAGGGCGGGAGTGGGAGAGGTGCAGCAGAGCAGCCATGTTGGGGGAGATGGACCGGGGGACCGGGCGGGTAACAACCACCCGCTGCTGCTGCTGCTGCTGTTGCTGCTGCTGCCTTTGAGACGGTGGCGGTGGGGTGACAGACGCACATTCCCCTGATGCCGCAGCTGCTGCTGCTGCCAGCTCTGCTGATGTGGCGGCCAGTCCCGGAGCAGGTGCCGACACTGGTCGCTCACCCACATCCCCTCGCGGCCGCCCTCCACATTCCAAATCCTCCGCCTCCCCTTCCTCACGCCCCTCCCGCCCGCCCACCCCGCCATCCCCGCCCGTCTCTCTTCTTGCCTCGCGCCCACTCTCCTCGCCCCTGCCCGCCCCCCTGCCAGGAAGGTGCAGGGGGAGGGGGAGAGGGTGGTCGGCGGGGGACTGCCTCACGAGCGCGCGCCACTGCCGCCACTCCGCCAGGCTGATGCGCCGTCCCCCGCCAGGGGACAGGCAGGGGGAGGCGGAGGGGGGCAGGCGCAGAGGTGTTGGGGGGGTGGGCGCGGAGGAGAGGTGTGGGGCAGAGGAGGCGCTTCTGGCCGTGGTGGGGGAGGGAGGCGGGGGCATGAGCGCGGACGGGGACGTGTGGAGCGGGGGAGAGGCGGAGAGAGGGGGGAGCGCGGAATCCCTGAAGCTGGAGCGTGGGGGTCGGGGGTCACGGGGGAATGAGGGCGGGCGGGGGGAGACAAGGGGCCGGGGGGAGGGGAAGGGGGAGGAGGAGGAGGGGAAAGAGGAGGAGGAGGGGAAAGAGGAGGAGGAAGGGAAAGGAGCGGAGGCGGTGAGGGAGGAGGAGGTGGAGAGGGAGAGGGACATGGGCGCGGAGAGCGAGGAGGAGCAGGGGGAGGCGCGGGGGGCGGAGGGGAGCGAGTCATCGAGGTGCCAGGGGGAGACGAGGGGGGGGCGGGGCAGCGAGGAGTCGCAGTCAAACCAGCGCACGCACACACTGCGCCACTGCGACGTCGGCCACACGCCGCTGGCCGCCCGGTGCACGGCTGTGACGGTGCCGCGCAGGCGGTGCGTGGACAGCTCGTCCGTCTCAAACGCCATGCGCACCTCGCTGGCTGCTGTCAGGCGCTGCTTGAGGCGCAGCGCAGCGCAGAAGGCGGCGAGGGGCAGCACAAAGGGCGCTGGCGTTGATGCCACGCTGGGGGATGGGGGGATGGGGGGATGGGGGGATGGGGGGACGCGCAGGGGGACGCGCAGAGAAGGGGCGGTGAGAGGCGGTCGTGATGCGTGGAGGAAAGAGGGAGCGGTGGTGCGAGGAGGGAGTGGCATGGGCTGCGTGGTACGAGCGCAATGGGGGCGAGGCGAGGAGGTTGAAGAGCGGGGAGACGGGTAGGGAGGGCAGAGGAGAGAAGCAAGAGACTCAGGGCAAGACGAGGAGAGGGAAGGAGGTGAAGGAGCAGAGGGGAGGAGTGGATACCAGGGGTGGTAGACGACGGAGAAGGCCCTCTTGACGCCGTGGCAGTGCGCCGCCCACTCCAACACCTCACTCGCTGTCACCGTCGTCGCCACAGCACCACCACCTCTGCCGCCTCCTCCTGCTGCTGCTGTGGCCTGTGCACCCGAGTTGCTCGTCCCCTCCTTGGCTGCCCCCGCACTGCTTGCAGAGTTGGTTGCCCCGCACCCTCTCTCCCGCTCCCTCTGCCGCCTGTGCTGCGCTGCCAGCACGGCCTCGCTGCGCCGCGCGCCCACCTTGAGCGCCCCGTTGCCCGCCCTGCCAGTACCGGGGGGTGGGGGAGGAGGAAAGGGAGAGCGGGGGAAGAGCGAGCGGAGCAGAGTGAGGCATGGCATGGTGGAGAGAGGCGCGTGGCGGCTAGAGAAAAAGAGGAGGGGAAGAAGGGTGAGCAGGGGACGCACGTGTAGTGAGGCAGCGAGCGGCAAGCACGGCGCCCACCTGGGGAAGACGATGGTGCCCCACCCACCTGAGACAACACCTGAGCTCACCTGAGGAAGACGATGCGGTCGGACGCTGCGAGCCCCCACGACGCGCAGAGGGCGCTCCACCCCGCCGTGAGCAGGTGGCGGCGCGGCGACCCGCGGTACACGTGGCGGAAGTTCCACTCGCGGCCGAACACGTCGGATGCCACCAGCTGCTGACATGGCCCCTCCTCATTGGCGTCCTGCCGTGGCCCATGCCATGCCATGCCATGGTGTTGCATCATGCAGGAAGAAACGCGGATGAGAATACGAAGGTGGAGCGATGTGTAACAAAGTGACATGGCGCGGAGCTAGAGGTGCGCAGCAATGGGTGAGGATGGCGACGAGCAGCACAGTTGCGTGGGGGAGGAGCGTGTGTGGAGGGGGGGGGGGGGTGTCGGAGGGAAGGTCGGGGGCTTACGAGGGCGGGGAAGAGGGACTCAGCAGCCTTGCGCGGGATGAAGAACCCGCCATGCGGCGCGGCGTCGCTGGTGGAGAGGCGCTTGCAGCACATGTGCAGCCGCGCATGCGCGCCCATGTGCGTGTGCACCCCCTCCTGCACCCCTGCCTGCGCCTGCAGCCCCCCCGGGCGCGCTGCCTGCGTGCGCCCGCCGTCTGTGTCCAGGCTGCCCTCCTCGCTCTGCTCCTCTTGCGCGTCCGCCTTCTCCCCCTCGCGCCCCCGTCTCCTCCCCGCTGCGCCTGCCCTGCGCGCCTCCTGGCTGGCGGCTGCCTGCGCCTTCACTGCTTCCGCCTGCTCATTCACGGGCGGAAGAACGGGGGAGCGGACTCACGGGGGGATTAGACGGCGGGCGGAGGAGGGGGAAGGGCAGCTGTCAGCGCGGAGGAAAGGGATGGCGCAGAGGTGAGCGAGAGGGGGAAGAAGGGAGTGAGGACAGCGTGGGCAATGTACGAACAAATTCAGAGGGGAAGCAGGCGCAGGGCGAGGAGAGGCTAGCAGCCACACACCCGCTCATACGCTCATGGATTCAACGGGCCCAGCCGTGAAGGGCGCCTCACCTCATCTACGGGTTGCAGCTCGAAGCGCACCATCAGCTCGTGCGTGCGCTCGTCCGCCTGCGCGCGGGGCAGAGGAACAGGCAGCGGGGGGGGAGGAGGGGAGGGGGGGGGGGGGGGAGGTGGCGCGGAGAGGAGTGGGTGAACGATAGGGGATGGAAGCGGGTGCGCATGCATGGTGGCATCTGCTGGTGCCATCCCGCTGGGAGGGCGAAATTGCAGCAAGTAATTGCGGCGGGAAAGCCATTGACCGTGGACAGGCGCCAAGAGCGCTCCGTCATATCGCGGCGGAGTCTACGGCGAGAGTCGCGTCGCGCTTATTGCGGGCGGTACCTGAAGCGCGACGGCCGTCAGGCGGCAGAAGATGTGGCTGGGC